TGTCCATAACTCCAGTTCCAGGGGATCTGACAGCATCTTCTGTCCTCCACAGGCACTGCACGACACAGGTGCACTTACCTACATGCAGACAATACACACATATACACAGAATAAAAATAATAAAGTATTTTTTTAAAAAAGAAAATGGGGGCTGGAGAGATGCCTCAAAGGTTGAGAGCGCTGACTGCTCTTACAGAGAACCCAGATTTGATTCCCAGCACCCACATGGCGGCTACGAACCGTCCTTAACTCCAGTTCCAGGGTAATCTGAAGCCCTCTTCTGACCTCCGTGGCTTTGCACAACATGGCTGCACTCACATACATGTAGGCAATATACTCATACACATAAAATAAAAATAAATAAAAATTAAAAAAAAATGGTGTAGTAAAATTCTATTTATTTCAGCTGGCTGTGGAGTGGCACAAGCCTTTAATTCTAGCACTGGAGATGCAGAGCAGATGGATTTCTGTGAGACTAAGGCCAGCCTGGTCTATACAGTGAGTTCCAGGCCCTGTCTCATTCATTCATTCATAAATAAATAAATAAAAATTTTAAAGTTGGGCCAGGTGTGGAGGCGCATGCCTTTGAGAGGCAGAGGCAGGCTGTCAGTTCAAGGCCAGCCTGTTATATATAGGGAGTTTCAGGGTAACTGGAGCTGTAGGGAGACCAGGTCTCAAAAAGGCAAAAACAAACAAAAAAAACCTCAAAGAGTTGGAAAAGAGTTATTTTCATGGGTGATATACCAATATAGAAAATCTAAGAAACAAGTTATCAAAACTAATAATAAGCCAGGGCTGGAGAGATAGCTCAATGGGTTTGAATCCCAGAACCCCCATGGCAGCTAACAACTGTCCAGAACTCCAGTCCCACGGGATCCAACAGCCTCTTCTGACCAATGTGGGCATTGCACAACACGGGTGCACTTACCTACATGCAGGCAATACATGCATACACATAAAATTTAAAAAAACAACAAAAATACCCCTAATAATAAGCCAAGTGTGGTGGCTCAGGCCTGTAAGCCCTACACTTGGGAGGCTGAGGTAGGAGGAGTATTGACAGGGTGTGCTACAAAATAAGATCTTGTCTCAAAAAAAAAAAAAAAAAAAAAAAAAAAAAAAAAAAAACCAGAAACCAAAACCAAAACCAAAAAAACCCCAAACAGGCTGTGTAGGGTGTCTGTCATATACCTGTAAATCTCAACACTTGGTAAATGGAGGCGGAAGGATCAAGAGTGGAAGGCCAGCCTCAGTACAGAGACTTGATCTCAAAAACAAAAACAAGAATAGTCCCTACAATAAAAGGTATCCAAAGGGTGATGTTCTGTTTTAAACTAGCAATAACATAAACAATAAAACTTATACTTTAATTCACACAAAAATATTATCTGTGTGTCTAAGACAAGGGTGGGGTAGGGGATGGGCCATGGCCTGCTGTGTATGGAGGGCAGAGAACCACTTTGCAGAGGTTTTTTCCTTCACCTTTACAAGGGTTCCGGAGAGCAAATGCAGATCATCAGGTCTCTGTAGCAATTGCTGAGCCATCTTGCCAGCACAAGTGTGAGAAACTTTTAAACATAGCTCATTATGTCATGCTCTAGTGACTGAGGTAGCCAGATACTAATAGCATTATTAAACAAGAAAATGTTCAACCTGAAGACTGAGTTTTGTTTTGCTTTGTTTTTTCTTTTTAAGAAAGAGTCTATGTAGCCCAGGCTGGTCATGTGAATTCACTATGCAACCAAGGATGATCTTCAATTCTAATTCCTTCTGCCTCACTCAGGTACCTTACCAAGTATTCTACCACATTCAGCTCAGACTGATTTTTAATGGTTTCATATGTAGGATGTCCAATATAAACTTTCTACAACAAAAAGTGACCAACAGTCATGTGTAGCTTGGAGGACAAGAGATAGTCACACTCTGCCTTGGTATCTGTGGAGAAATGGGTCAAAGATACCTCCGTACTCCACCTAATACCACAGTCCATATATTTTCATATCCCTTATACATAAAGAGGAAGGACAAAGAATTTCCAAGTGTTTTTATGGCTCTTACCTTGAAAGCAAGTTATACTGGGGTGTGGAGGGACGCTTTGGGGATTTAGAAATAAAATCTCTAAGAAAAAGAAGAGGACCACAGACCAGGCATGCTGGTGCATCCCAGAGCTCAAGGGGCAGAGGCAGGCTAATCTCTAGATGGAGGCCAGCCTGGCCTATACATCAAGTTACAGGCCAGCTGGGACTATAGGGAAACCCAGTCTCAAAAAATATATATATGTGTGTGTGTGTGTGTGTGTGTGTGTGTGTGTGTGTATGTATGTATGTATATTTACAGACAGGGTCTTATTAAGTGGCTACCACTAGCCTTAAGCTTGGAGACCCTTCTCATCCTGTTTCTCCAGATTTCAGATGTGCACTACCACAATGAGCTAAATTAAATTCTTTTAGCTTTAGTTGCTTGGAATAGAGCCCCTGCATATAGTGTTCAGAGATCAGTCAAATTTGGACAGAATTTATGTTCTCTGGTTCTGGCTCTTACTTTCCACTGTTTGTGGTCTCCTCCTTTTTCTTTTTTTTTTTTTTTGAGACAGGGTCTCCCTGTAGCCCCAGCTGGCCTGGAACTTGTTATGTACACCAGGACAGCCTTGATCTCAGAGATCCCCTTGCCTCTGCCCCCCTGAGTACTGGGAGTAAAGGAATGAACCATAATGCTTGGCCCAGTGCATAGAATTTGGATTTCACAATGAAAACATAAAAACCACAACAGAGTGAGGCCAGTCATCAAAGTCTAGTTGTTTCTTGAAACTTTATTATATTAAGAAAAATATGGGCTGGAGAGATGGCTCAGTGGTTAAGAACACTGGCTGTTCTTGCAGGGGACCTGAGTTAGGTTCCCAGCATCATGTGGCAGCTAACAACCACCTCTATTAACTCTTCTAGCCTCCATGGGCATTACATACATGGTACACATATATATACAGACAAAACACTCATACACATAAAATATAAATTCAAACGGGCTGGGCATGGTGGTGTATGCCTTTAATCCCAGCACTTGGGAGGCAGAGGCAGGAGGATCTTTGTGAGTTTGAGGCCAGCCTGGTCTACATAGTGAGTTCCAGGACAGCTGGAGCTACAGGGAGGCCCTGTCTCAAAAAAACCAAAAAAATAAAAATAAAAATACCTTAAAACAACAGTATTTAATATCCAAAATAATAGCACTATCATTAAAACTAATGTCTTAGTGTGCTCAGGTTTATTTCTAGCACCCATATAGCAGCTTATAACCATCCACAACTCCAGTTCCAGGAGATCTGAGGCCCTCCTCTGACCTCCAAGGGCACCAGACACAAATGTCACATACATATATGTAGGCAAAACATTCATACACATGAAATAAAAATTTAAAATAATTTTCAAAAACAATACTTCTTGGGTAAGGGGTATATGTCAACGGCAGACTATTTTCTGCTTATATACCAGGCGATGAGTTCAATCCTTAACACAACACACATGATTTTAAAGATGGCAACATTTTAACTAAATTTTGTTCCCTTAAGACAGGTTTTTACTATGTAGCCTTGGCACATAGACCAGACTGGCCTTGCACATGCCACCAGTGGCAAAATTTTACATTTATTTATTTTGTGAGTATGTTCAAGTGTTTGACTCACAGTGTCTAGTAGCAGTCGGAGACAACTTGCAGGAGTTCTCTCTTTCTACCAAGTGAGCTCCAAGTACTGAACTCAGGTCATCAGGCCTGGTGGCAAGGGCCTTTACAGACTGAGCCATCTCACTGGCTTCACTGAAGTTTTAAGCATACTCAAGACCTTTAATCCCAGCAATCAGGAGGCAGAGGCAGCAGGACCAGAGTTCAAGGCCAGCCTGGTCTACACAGTGAGTTCCAGGCCAGCTGGGGCTACAGGGAGACCCTGTCTCAAAAAAGATAAAAAAAAAAAAAGGTAGGATTGAGTGTGGTGGTACACAGCTTTAATTCGAGGTGGGGGAGGGGGCAGGGAAGGGCAGACTGGTGTGAGATCAAGGCCAGCTGGGGCTTCCAGGAGGCCCGGTCACAAAAAATAAAATAAACAAACAAAAACAAAAACATACCCCAAAATTAAGATAGGACAGGTGGTAACACAGGCCCTTAATCTCTGAACTCAGGAGGCAGAGGCAGGTGGATCTGAGTTCAAGGCTAGCCTGGTCTATATAGTGGGAATCTGTCAAAAAAAAAAAAAAAACCAGCAAGAACGAAGAAAAAATAAGGTAAAAATTCAAATCCTAACTATGAGCCAGGATCTAGGATCTTCTACGTTTTTACTTTTTCCAAAAAAAACCCAAAAAACCATTTTATGTGTATGTGTGTTTTGCCTACGTGCATATAAAGTATACCACATTGTATCTAATGCCCACATAGGCCAGAAGAGAGTTTGGACCACTGGAACTGGAGCCTCTCTCTAGCTGGCCCTAGTGTTTTTATTTTTATTTTTTGGTCTTTTCTGAGACAGAATCTCTCTGAAGCCCCAGCTGGCCTGGAACTTGCTTGGTACCAGGCTGGCCTTGAATTTACAAAGATTCATCTCCCTCCACCTCCCAAGCTGGGGATTAAAGGGGTGTGCCAACATGCCCGGCTCGGCTCAGTGTTTTTACTTTTAAAAACAAAGGTCAGTAAGTCTTCATTGTAATCCCTTGGTATGGGTAATGTTTTATTCTATTTTATTTATTTTTTGGTCTTTTTGAGACAGGGTCTCCTTGTAGCCCCAGCTGTCCTGGAACTTACTATGTGGACCAGGCTGGCCTTGAACTCACAGAGATCCTCCTGCCTCTGCCTCCCAAGTGTTGGGACTATAGGCCGTGCGCCACCACACCCGGCTACAAGCTTATACTTTTAAAATATATAAATATCATATATACAACAAACAACTGAAAACAACTCTATAAAACTGGCATTCAGACTTACCTTAATAGGAGTTCTTTAGGAAGTTTTTTATTGATTACAGCTTCATCACTGTTTGAGAACATCTGTTAAAAAAAATTATTGTATCAGGTTTTAGTAAACATTTTATCATGTTCATACAACAGTTTGGAGGCAATTCTCTTAGGAGAAAGATTAAAGAAAAGTATAGTGAAGAGCCAGGGACTTGACTCGCAGAAAGTTGCCTGTTGTCAAGCTTGAGTTCAGTCCCTGAAACCCACAGGGCAGAAGGAGAGCTGACCCTGAATGTTGTCCTCCTGAACCTAGTCCTCTGACCTTCTGCACACACACGTGCCCAGACCTATAAAAATACAGGAAGGACTGGGGAAATGGCTCAAAGAGTGAAAGGCTAGCCTCCCAAGACAGAGGAACTGAATTTGATTTCAGAAAGTCAAGTAAAAAGTCAGAGGTAGCAGCCTCAAAGGTAGGGTGGGACAACAGGATCAACCTCACAATTTCCTACCTTCACTACTCCACTAAATTCAGAGACTCCTCCCCTCTAAATTCAGAAATCCCCTACAATCTAAACTCAGAGGAGGCCTCTTTCTTCTAAAGCATATAAAAGTAAGGAATTTCCTTTGTTCTTAAGTTACTGTTGGATCTCCTAACCCAGTTTCAGGTTACATGAAATCCTCAGCACATAGCTCTACTAAACCTAGAATCTTTATTATTTAAAACAAACAAGATCCTGTCTTTAAAAAAATTACAACTCTCAGAGCTGGGGAGATGGTTCAGCAGTTAAGAACACTGTTCTTGAAGAAGATCTGGGTTCGTACCCCAGCACCCACATGGAAGCTAACAACTGTAACTCCAGTTCTAGGGGATCTGACAGTCTCTTCTGTCCTCCTTGGGCACTGCTTGACACAGGTGCACTTACCTACATGCAGGCAATACAAGCATATACATAAAACAAAAAATAATAGGGCAGGGCAGGGGTGACACACACCTTTAATCCCAGCACTGGGGAGGCAGATGCAGGTAGATCTCTGTGAATTGGAGATCAGCCTGGTCTCCATAGCGAGACCAGTGGAGGTTGGGGGAATCCTCCCTAGCTGGCCTGGAACTTACCATGCAGACCAGGCTGGTCTCACAGAGATCCTCCTGCCTTTGCCTCCTGAGTGTTGTGATTAAAGGCAAGGTGTCAACTACGCCTGGCTAATCATAAGTATTCTTAATGCAAAAGTGATCATTTAAAGTTAATCACATTACTCACAATTACTACATTTTATTTATTTATTTATTTTGACAGGGTATCACTCCATAGTCCTGGCTAGTCTTGAACTCAGAGATCTACAAGCCTCTGCCACCTGGCCTACAATGACTATTAACCATCATGTTAGTCACAAAGGTGATCATGAATCTAAGCTTGTTTAGTATAAAAAAGCAAGCAACTCACTCGGGAGGCAGAGGCAGGTGGATCTCTGTGAGTTCAAGGCCAGCCTGGTCTACATAGTGAGTTCTAGGCCAGCTGAGGCTACAGGGAGCCCCTTTTAAAAAAAGAAAAAAAAAAAAAAAAGCACCTATACTAATAAGTGCAGCAGCAAACTGTGGTATTAATACATACAGTGGGATTTTATTCAGTCATAAGAAGGATGAAACACTGACACAGCAGGTAGAAGAATCTTGAAAATATTATACAAAGTGAAAGAAGCCATGTACAAAAGGCTTATTATTGCATGATTCTGCTATATGAAATGCCAGAGTGAATAAATCCATAGAGGGAAAACACAGATTGGTGATTGCCAGGGATTGAGTCTGGAGGTGGGGAAGAACTAAAGTGCTTAATGAGGGTAGAGTTTTAGTTTGGGGAAGACAGGATGTTTTAGAATTAGAAGGAGGTGGTAATTTGTAGCATTGTAAATGTACTAATGTCGCTGACTTTAAAACAGATGATTTTATGTGAATTTCATCATATATATATATATATATATATATATATAAAAAACATTTTTTTTTTGGAGACAGGGTTTCCCTGTAGTCCCCAGCTGGTCTGGAACTTGCTATGTAGACCAGGCTGGCCTCCATCTCACAGGTTAGAGAGGTGGTGCAGCCATTAAGGGCTCAGACTCAAAACTAAAACGACAAAGATCTGAATGTCTTTGTCTTCCAAGTGCTGGGATTAAAGGTCTGTGCCATCATGCCTGGCAGTACAGTAGAAACATCACATACAAATCACTGACTTACATTTAGTCTCTGCTATACAACTGCAAAGTCTGTCACACTTCTGTAATCCTATCACCTGGGAGTCTAAGGCAGGAGAATAGCCAGTTTGAGGCTAGCCTAGACTATATAAAATCCTGTCCTAAGGCCTGGAAAGGGCTCAGTGGTTAAGGGCACTGACTGCTCTTGCAGAGGACCCGGGTTCAATTCCCAGCACCTACATGGTGGCTAACAACTGTCTATAACTCCAGTTCCAGGGGACCCGACACCATCTTCTAACTTCTGCAGGCACTGCATGGCATAGGTGCACTTACATGCAGGCAATACACTTATAAACATAAAATAAAAATAAAATATTTTTTAAAAATCCTTTCCCCCAAAAGAAAAAAGTATTCATGTAATGAACAATACTGAATACTGTAATTTCAGGCACTTTTCTAGGCAGTAAGATTAAAAGAAAATAGTTCTTTCTTTACAATGAAGAAATCAGATATAAGCAAATCATTTGCTCATTAGAGATAGGTTAAGAAGATGCATGTAAGAACAAAGGATGAACAACTAATTCTATCTTCAAGTACATCTAAGTTGGGTCTCATTTTTATTTATTTATTTATTTTTGAGATAGGTTCTTACTCTATAGCCCAGCTGGTCTACAACAAACTATGTAACCCAGACAGACCTCAAACTCATGAATGATCATCCTGTTTCAGATTCTCCAGTGTTGGAATTACAGACCTAAGCCATTTCCTGAATTGGGTCTTAAAGGAAGGTCAGGCTAGGGAGATGACTCAGTGTATAAAGCCTTGCCATCCTCAGACCTCACATAAATTCCAGGAGGCATGGCAGCTCTCCAGTAATTCCAGTGCTTAGAAGGCTGAGACAGGGGATCCTTGGACCAAACAGGCTAGCTAGACCAGTCCATACTATCCGGGTTCAGATGAGATCCTGCCTCAATGAATAAGAACAGAGTGATCAAGAAGACCCCTGATGTCAATACTGGGTCTCCACACCCACACACGTGTATCCACCCCAACACACACACATATAAGAAAGATCAGAAGTTAATTAGAAAAAAAGAGGAGATGGACCAGCAAGATAACTCAGCTAGGCAAGACGCCCACCAGCATGCCTGCCAACCTGAGTACAATTTCCAAGGCCTACACAATGAAAGGAGAAAACCAATTCCCCACAGTTGTGTTCTGACCACCACACAATTAAATGCTATTGAAGTCAGGCCTAGAGTGGCACAGGACTGTAATCCTAGTTATTCTGAAGGCTAAGGTAGGAGGATTCCCAGTTTAAGGCCTAGGCTACAAGTGTCAATGATGTCAAGATGGTCAGGACTTATCCTGTATGATGAAGTTGAAAAGTTTGGTTTTAAAATTTTTATTTATTTTTTTATTTATGTGCATGTATGTGTGCCTGCTTGTCTGTATGTGCACCACCTGTATGTAAGGGCCCCTGGTGCCCAAAAGAGGACATCAGCTTCTCTGGAGCTAAGAACTGAACCTGAGTATTCTGGAAGAGCAGCTAGTACTCTCAACTGCTGAGTCATCTCTTCAACCCCTGAAATTTAAGGTTTAAAGACAAGCAAGAAACCAGAAAAAGTGTGCAAATGACCAGCTAGCAATAACCTACTTGCAGAGCGCATGGGAGACCGCCAGTACATGGGCAGTTCAGCAGTAGAAGCGCCTGCCAGAATATACGAGAGTTAGTGGTGGAAATGGAATCCAGAACGCTGCACATGCTCCCAACTCTACCACTGGAACTACATATCCAAGTCCAGATTTCTATCATTTTAAGCCATTTTTAATTACAGCTAAACTTCACATATTTTGATTAAAGGCACTTGATTTTAAGTTTGGTGATCCGAGTTCAATGCCCAGAACCCATAAGGTCAAAAGAACTGACTCCCACAAGTTGTCCTCTGATCTCCACAAGCACTCCCCCCCCTTATATAGACACAAAATTTTAAAATGTAGAAATATTTTGGGGAGGATCTGGAGAGATGCAGTCATTAAGAGCACCAGCTGTTCTTCCAGGGACCCTGGTTCAATTCCCAGCACCACATGGCAGCTAACACCTGTCTCTAACTCTAGTCCAGGGGATCCGACGTCCTCTTCTGGCTTTGACAGGCACTGCTTGACATCAGTGCAAGTATGCACATGCAGATAAAACACTCATACACATAAAAGTAAATAAGTAAAAATTTAAAGTATGTATTTCTTATAAGAAAAGATAAAAAGAAAACAAAGGTGGTGGGGATAGCTCAGTCAAGTACTTGCCACACAAGCCTGAAGACCTGAGTTTGACCCCCAGAACCCATGCAAAAATGCCAGGCGTGGTGGCATGTGCTTCTAATCTCAGCACTGGGGAGACAGAGACAAGAGGATCCCTGGGGCTTACTGGCCACTAGCTATATCAAGGGGTCCCACAGGCCAATGAGAGACTGGGTCTTAAAAAATAATGTGAAGGGGGGCTGGAGAAATGGATCAGCGGTGAAGAACACTGACTGTTCTTGCAGAAGACCTTGGGTTCGTACCCCAGCACCCACATGGCAGCTAACAACTGTCCGTAACTCTAATTCCAGGGGATTCGACAGCCTCTTCTGTCCACCACTGGCACTGCATGGCACAGGTACACTTACCTACATGCAGGCAATACACACATACACATAAAAGCTGGGTTCTCAGGACCTACATCAGGTGCTTCACAATGACTTAAACTCCAGTTCCAGGCAATCTGATACTCTTAGTGGCATCATCAGGCACCTGAACTCACATGCACATACCCACATACAGACACAAAGAAATACACTTCACTAAAGATTTTTTTTTTTTATCTTTGAGATAGGGTCTCCCTGTAGTCCCAGCTGGCCTGAAACTCA